AGGGAGGGAGGGACAAGGGGCGGTCAAGGTTTGGGGGAATGGGAGAGCCGACCGCAAGTCCAGCACAGAACCATGGACTCGTTAAAGTTGGAAAAGACCTCCAAGATCGTCAACTCCAACCACTGGCACCCCACCAACTGCTGCAAACCCATGGGCCAAGAGGGTGCCGGTGCCCCCAAAGGAGGAGGGAGGCTCTGGGAAGTGCCTATCTTGCTTTTTAGACCTGGGAAGCACTTGCTTTCTAACCACAAATCCCTTCTGGCAGGGATGCCTTGACCTGACCCCTCCAGGACCTGGCCAGTGGGTCTGACTGGGCTCCCAGGGCCCCCTATTCCTGGGAATGTTGCAGACAGCCACGCATAGGATGCACCTTGGAAGCCAGCAGTGTTGCCCCTTTTTCCTTGTTTTCTGGGCAAAGCAAGGGCTCCTGGCACAGCTCCTCACTACCAAACTATTGATTTGTCCTCTCTGTATTCAGAGGGTCCGGCCCAGCCTGGCCACCCCTCATGCCACTGCCCTGAGTTCCTTGACATCCCGCCTGGAATGCCCTGGGCAGGGTGGCTGTGCACGGCCCGGCCCCGCTCCGCTCCCCCGCGGGCTGCTCGCCAAGGGCCTGCATTCCTGTGGGATGATATAGGAGTGAGGAAGAATAAATACATCTTCCTCACGGCTCCCCTTCCCCTCTTTGTTCCCTGGAAGGAGAAGGTTTTCCTGCTGGAGATGCTATCACACTCTGCCTGGATAGGTCAGCAGGGCTGGGAGCAGCATGTCCTCCCATCAAGCCTCCAATTCCCTTCTTCCCATCATTTTCCACAGTGGAAGAGGTTGTTTCCAGGCCCTCCTCAAATTCCAAGCGGTGCCTGGCCCCCCAGACCTCTCTGTGTCCATCTCATAGTCAACCTGGGGCTTTGCCAGAGGCGTTGAGCTGCCCAAAGGGCCATGAATCACCCGGCACCAGCCCAGCTTCTGCTCAGCAGCAATCCCAGCAGACACCGGTGTTACATGGACATTCCCAGCTCAGGACCATGGGGTGGGATTCCACAGAACAGGGAGTACATCTGCCTTCCACCCTTCCCCATGCCTATTCCACATTTAGCTGTTTCCTGAGCTGGTTTCCAGCTCCTAAATTACCCCCAAATTCCTCCTGGTGCACAGGGAGGGGGAAGGGTCTGCAGAGGGAGTGGGATTTTTATCACCGGTTGGAAAAACCCAACCGTGCTGGGGAAACTGGGAAAAGGAACGGAGCAGAGGGGTCCCAGCAGAGGGGTCCCAGCAGATCCCCACGGGCTGAGCTGGTGAGGAGGAGAGCGGCTGGCCCAGG